CAAACCGAAGCAGGTGGTTTTCTTAGGGGGCCACACCCCGAGCCTTTGACCTAAAGGTCTGATCCACAAGGCAGTGGAGCATCGTAAGGAGATGCAGTCCCATGATAGCCAGCCGGTGACCAACGATTGGTTCATACGCCATTTGTCCCCGCAGGATACTGGAGCCAGCCCATGTGCACCATTGATTTGGGATCCGGTTACAGCGCCGGACATTCGCTTTTCGTCCTCTCATTTTTGTAAACAACACCCCCGCCACGAGAAGGCAGTGAGTAGGACTTCCCTGGAAGAGGCTATATACGCATGTCCATGTGAGAGCATTTGGAGAGGGAGAGCGGACTCTTCCCACTCTCGGCCGTACCAGAGCATTTGGGGGCATTATTATTCTATGATATCTAATATTTAATAAATTCAATAAATTTTATACAATTATAAAAATATCCTGAAAGGTATGACTAGTTCATTTTCACTCTCAATAGAGATTGTATCAATAAATAGAGTTAATTATTTCATTATTGAATTTTTCACTTCTCTATTTTCTATATATTTTAATTTATTCCCATCCCAACAAATATTATATCTATCATTTATCTTGTATATAAGTTATTAAAAAAAAAATTTGAATACTCCGCACCCACCCTACCCCCCTGCCACACACACACACACACATACACACATACACTTTTCTCTTGTACTATATAAATTCAATATATATGTATATATGTCTCCATTCTTTGAAATTATCACCTATTTCTAATCTAAGAATTACCGATTATAAACACGCAACATATTATCTTGTATATCAGTTATGAAGTGTCAATCAAGTTTGTTCTGTTTTTGTTTTTTTTGTTTTTTTGTTTTTGTAATTTAATTCAACTTTACTAAATAGAAAAAAATATATTAGATTTAATTATTGTATCAGACAGAAGAGATTGAATTATCATCATCATCATCATCATCATCTCTGGCTGTTACTCCTCGTAGAGGAGTATAGACCGCCTATCAATACTCACCATCCAACCCCTGTCCTAGGCAATCTTTTTCATATCTGCTTCTATTTCCCGACATAATGTGTTCTTTGGCCTTACTCTTTTCCACTTCCCTTCAGGATTCCAAGTTAGGGTTTGCCTTGTGATGCAATTTGATGATATTTTGCTTTCATTATTATTGTTTAATATTTACTTATTCATTTATTTATTGTATATTCTAATTGTACATCAATACACTTCTATACTATATCCTTATATGCAATCTTTCTTTTATATATTACTATCATTGAAGTGACTACTTCTGTGAATCCAGTGTTCATCTTGTTGTGGTAATGAGGTATGGCAACTTGGACCGAGGTATATATGTGCCGGGTCCTACGTTGTAGCTGACTGACTGACACTCACTTTGTAGTATATGATATTGATGAATGGAACAGATAGTTTTCCTCTTTCAGATAATTGGCTTAAAGTGTGGTTTATTTTTAGCACTAATAGTAGTTTTCGATTGGATAAAATGGTTAATAATGAGTTATTGTACCTAAGACTTAATCATTGTTACCGTGATATTTGAAAATCTTGGGTTTGATTTCATATACGGTGATCTCGTGTATTGTTAGAGGTATGATGGTGGTTATCACTTCCCGGTTGTCCACATCGTGGAAAGGTTCTTTTAGAGGTGCCTGAAAGGGAGATTGGATTAGAGGTGGTCTTAGTGACCTGAGAGCGTGACCGCACTACTCAACCGGTCACACACGACCTTTTTGTGAGTAATTTTCGTGTTAGCTCCGTACTTGTTGAGACCTTACCGCCGGAGATGGATATCTGTGGGATAAGGCGAGTTGTGGATTTTTAGGGTCAACTTTTTTTAACCTCACCCTTCCTTTGTGGGAAGGCAGTATTGTTGTTATGCTGGTTGTCTGAAGGGAACACCTTACTGCTGTCACACTTCTGTACAGTCAGCAGTACGAATTCGCCTTCGGACCTTGGGTTTGCTGCTATTAGTTTTACCGCTCTTCAACCAACCTGCCTGACTGGCATGGTAGGATCTTGTGAAACGATTGTTCCAATCAGTATAACTCAGTTGCTTCATCACGATAGGCAAGCCCGATCACCACATCAAGGTAGCAGCAACGGTCTTCGATAAACTTGATATAAATCATGATTTCGATCCTCGGTGGTGGTTAGTAGATGCCTATTCGTTAAATTTACATAAAATAACTATCTAATATTTGGAATAGGGATTTTGTGGAGATTGTAGTAATTTTAACATTTAAATTGATGATTCAATCTAAGTTAGATCACCATTAAAAATCTGGAAGCACTGAACTACCGTTTCATTCTAGTATGGGACTCTTCAACAGTACACATTCACGAATTGACACACATGGCTCAAAACCGGGATCTTCGGTCTCTTACATGAACGCTTTACCTCTATACCACTGAGCTTGTATCCAACAGTGTTAATATCTAACTCCAAATGATCCATAAACTTACCCAACCCTTCATTCATTATCTGTGGTGAATAACTCCATTGGTCACGGTTTCTCATTATAAACTTTAAGTAATTCATCTTAAAGTTAGTCACTAATGAACATATAGTTGTTATGAGAATAGAGATTTGTCAAAATAGTATAATTTTCACAGTCGTCTATTGCTTCCACATTTCCAATAATAATAATAATAATTTATCAGTATTGGGGTTGTGGAGATTATTAAGCTTTTGATTGAGATCATGAATCGACTGATGTTAGACCACCGTTGGAAACCTGGAAGCACTGGACGGCCGTTTCGTCCTAGTATGGGACGAAACGGCCGTCCAGTGCTTCCAGGTTTCCAACGGTGGTCTAACATCAGTCGATTCATGATCTCAATCAAAATAATAATTTATCTTAGATCGATTCTAATGTTTGTTTGTTTTTTTAATTTTCAAGATTTGTCTAGTTTCATTCCATATCAACCAAAAAAAAAACTAATTTTAATGGATTTTTTAGTATAGTTTCTATACAAACTAATCGTTAAACATGAACTTTAATGAAATTTCTAAAATTACTTGTGATGTTTTTCTTCTTTTTCTTTTTACATTTTCTTGTCAAAATCAGGAAAACTGTGTACACCTTGGTTTTTCTTCTTTTTTTTTCTTCTTTTTTTTTCGAAAATACCCCCCCCCGCACACACACACACACTCACACACACATTGATAAATTTGTTTTACTAGTCCAAGTTGAATATTTTATGTTTTTACTATAATTGAATATTTTTTCTTCATTTATTGATTAAATTTTTAATGGATAAATATTGTATGGTTGATTAAAGTGATTTATTCTTAGTTTATAAATATTCATTGTTTTCATTTTTCAAAATAATCTATTTACGAATACTTCTAGATGTTTCCATGGTGATCTACTTTTCATTGACTCATGATTTCAACTATTGAAATTACTATAATATCTACACAAAAACCCCTTCTGATATTAATTAATATATGCTCTGTAATGACTGGTTTCAAGAGGTATATTCTGGAGTTCTAGTTAGAAACAGTGAACAGTGGAGTTCAATTGTGGGTCTGTAATTCATGGATGACAATGATGGATGTATCAATCAATTTTGTCGGATTAATTAAAGTTAGACATTAACATCGTTGGATGCTGGCCGACTCAGTGGTTTATAGGTGCAAAACTGATAGATCCTCTGTTGAAATCTTGCGAGGTGGGATTGTAGATGCTCATTGCTGAGGAGTCTCACAATAGAACAAAACGGTCATCCAGTGCTCTCAGGTTTTCTATGGTGGTCTAGTTTCAATTGACTCTTAATCTCAACTAATGAAATTACTATAATATTCACGAAAACCCCTTCTGATATTAATCAATATATGCTCAGTAGTGACTGGTTTCAAGAGGTATATTCTGGAGTTCTAGTTAGAAACAGTAAAACAGTGGAGTTCAACCGAGTCTATTGCGAGATGAAAGTGGTGAATGTGTTGCTCAATTTATGTGAATTCGTTGAAGTCAGACATTAACAGCGTTGGATTTCAGTTCAGTGGTCTAGTGGTTAGACTCTCGTGCGCGAGACTGATAGTTTCTGGGTTGGAATCTCGCGAAGCGGGATCGGGGATACATATTGCCACTGAGGAGTCTCACAATAGAAAGAAACGGCAGTCCAGTGCTTCCAGGTTTTCAATAGTTGTCTAACATCAATCAGTTCATGATCTCAACCAAGAACTCAATAATCTCCACAACCCTAAACTGATAAACCAATATTCACAATAGTCTTTCAACTAAATTTAGAAATATTTAAGAGTTTACAACTCTATAATGGTCAAACTATAATTCAATTTCAGAAGGAGTTTTGTGAATAATATAGTAATTTTAATACTTGAGATCATGAGTCGATTGAAGCTAGACCACCATGGAAAACCTGGTAGCATTGAATGACCGTTTCGTCCTAATGTGAGTTCGAATCTCTCGAGGCGGGATTGTGAATGTGCACTGCTGAAGAATCCCACAATAGAACAAAACGGCCATCCAGTGGTTTCAGGTTTTCCATGAGGCCTATACTTCACTTCTTAAGATACTTAGTCAAAATCCAATAACTATGATTACTAAATTTAATCCATTCATCATATAACATAAAGATCATTCTATGTTATTTGTATTGATTGTCTCTTTCGAAAAATTGTTGAACTTGTGTTCAAGTACAAGTTTCCGTTAGAGTGTCAAGGAGTCATTTCATAACAATTTTTCAGCTTACAACTTTACCATAGTTGAAAATATAAACCATTGAATTAAAACATTCAATTATCTGATGGTTAAGTGATTACTGTATGAGATTAAACGGTTTGAACTCCATTGGCTAGACTAGACTATGGGTGTGAACTGCTGTCTATTCTCAATTGTAATATCAGTGTGTGATGAACATGATCCAATATAGTTGTATTATTTCCAACTGTTCATTTCTAATTTCTTTTCCCTACTAATCTCTTTCCTTTTTTCTTTTCTTTTTTTTAATGTTTTACAGGATAATAATCTAGTTCGACATTTAGATGCATGTGAAACAATGGGCAATGCAACAGCAATTTGTTCAGATAAAACTGGTACATTAACTACAAATCGTATGACAGCTGTTCAATGTTTCATTGGTAATAAACATTATAAACGTATACCAACAGCTTCAGAATTACCAGAATCTATTACCAATCTCATAGTAATGAATATATCTATCAATAGTGGGTATACGTCGAAACTTTTGGTAAGTGACTATCGTGTTGTTAGTAGTAGTAGTAGTAGTATTCTTTTGTTTTCTTTATCGATCTTAAATAAAGCGAAACAAGACAAGAAAACATTATTGGTAAGTCTAACACATAAATATTTAGCCATAGACTTTGTAACCATTTTATAGACCCCAGAAATTTGTACTTTCAAACCCTGAAAAGAAAAGAAAAGATGAGATGTATAAAATGAGCTTTACTTTCTCAGCACAATTTAGTTCAGCAAGTTTTCTTTTTGATTGAGATCATGAATCGATTGATGTTAGACCACCGTTGGAAACTTGGAAGCATTGGACGGCTGTTTCGTCCTAGTATGGGACTCCTCAGCAGTGCTCATCCACAATGGAAGATGGTCGCGCAATTTCGTGGGTTGATTGATGTTGGACACTAACATTATTGGGTCCCGGCTCAGTGGTCTAGTAGGTTAAGCGTTCGCGCGCGAGACTGAAGGCCCTGGGTCCGAATCCCGTGAGCGGGATCGTGGATGTGCACTGTCGATGAGTCCCACGATAGGACGAAACAGCCTTCCAGTGCTTCCAGGTTTCCAACGATGGTTTAACATCAGTCGATTCATGATCTCAATCATAATCTCCACAATCCCAATAATGATAAGTTTTCTTTTCTTATTTGTTGATCGATCCTGACGATAATACATTGAGTGATAGCCAGTTAGATGTTAATAGTTCAGAAATCAACATCTGGATAGTGCATATTGTCAGTCACCCCAATGTCTCTCTGATTGTACTTTTTTCTAACTCGTACAATGAAAGGTCGTAAACTTTTCATAGACGCATCTGAATAGGTTATGCAATTAATAAACATAATGTTAAAACAAACAAGAAAATAGATGACAGGAATATGTAGCCCAGATATTCAAGTAGGTCGCCAAAAGTTGTAGTATGGTAACTTGAACCGATCCGAATTTATATCAAGCCCCTAAGTTGATTATGATTGAGTGAGTGACTGATCGATCCAACTTTCAAAGGCTTTTTCTAGTAATTATAATAAGCTATGAACCATGATATGTAACTCAGCTGATTTGCATTTGATGTAAAGTTAACTGTTTTGAAAGACCTAAACATAACGTCTGATTTTCAGAACCTTAGTTGATTGAGCAGGAGCGGGGTAGTGTCTAAACCTCTACAACTTTTATTTCTAAGTAAAAAAAAATATATTTCAATAATTGAAGCTAGACCACCATGGAAAATCTGGAAGCACTGAACGATTGTTTCGTACTGTTGTGAGACTTCTCAGTGGCAGTGCGCATCCACAATCCTGCCTCGCGGGATTCGAACACTGGACCTATCAGTCTTGCTGGTGAATGCTTAAGCACTAGACCATTGAGCTGACATCCAATAGTGTTAATTTCTAACTTCAACTAATCCACAAAATTGAGCGACACATCCACTAATGTCTTCAGTGAGTTACTATCTCACAACAGACCCGGTTGAACTCCACTGGCCACTGCTTCTCACTAGAACTTCAGGATATACCTCTTGAAGCCAGTCACTAGTGAGCATATATTGATTCATATCAGAAAGTACTATAATATTAAAAAACCCCTCTGATATGAAAAAAATATAGTTAACTATGATCAATTTTGAAGTGATTGTATCCTTGACTTTTAATAATACTGCTTCCAGTGTTATTTTTTTATTAGTTGTGTTGTATTAAACACATTTGTTATACAGAGAGACAATCTGGAAACCAATTTGATAATAGTAATTAAGCGTCACTTGTTAATCATACTTTTAAAAACGAGGAACTATTGCTATTCCCACGACACGCAGCAAGAACACAAAGACTCATACAAGTGAAGATTTAATCACCTAGGAAGCATAACGATGATCCTAGTCAAAAATACATTCATTTATATATTGATTTGTATACCCATTTTGGTTGTTAGTTAGTAACAAGTTACATGTATCGAAAATGTTTAGAATTATAACGAATCACATGCTGGATATCATGTTGAACATAGTTCACGTTAACTTATTACAAAGAATATCAAGTCTGGAATAAACATCACATTGAAGTAAATCAATCCCCCAAATGCCCTGGTATGGCCGAGGGTGAGGAGAGTCCGCTTTCCCTCTCAAAATGCTCACACGTGGCCACGCGTATACAACCACTGACAGAGAGGTCCTACTCACTACCGTCTCGAGGCGGGGTGTTGTCTTCAAAATTGAGAGGACGAAAAGCAAATATTCGACGCTTTAACCAGGTTGATAGATAGATATAGAGGATCCACCTAGAGAAGTTGGAAAACCATGATCTCAAATCATTGGTGCACATGGACTTCAGGATCCTGATGGAACAAAAGGCATACGAACCAATTGTGGTCACTGGCTACCATAGGACTGCATCTCCTTACGATGCTCCACTGTCTTGTCGAATAAACCTTTAGGTTGATGGCTCAAGGTTTTATTTATTTATTTATTTAAACACATAGATATTGGTACAAGGAGGCACCAAATACATATGCGCCGCACAGTTCTTATTTGATATGTGTGAGGGTTGTGATACTGCCCGGATGCTTAAACCGAAGCAGGTGGTTTTCTTAAGGGGCCACACCTCGAGCCTTCGACCTGAACGTCTGATCCACAAGGCAGTGGAGCATCGTGAGGAGATGCAGTCCCATGGTAGCCGGTGACCAACGATTGGTTCATACGCCATTTGTTCTTGCAGGATACTGGAGTCCATATGCACCATTGGTTTTGGATCCGGTTAAAGCGCCAGACATTCGCTTTTCGTCCCCTCATTTTCGTAAACAACACCCGTGATGTGAGAAGTTAGTGAGTAGGACTTCCCAGACAGAGGCTATATGGGTGTGACCATGTGAGAGCATTTGTAGAGAGAGAGAGAAAGCGGACTCTCCCCACTCTCATCCGTACCAGGGCATTTGGAGGCTCAAGAAGTGAACCTTTAATAAAATCATCTATTTCGGTTTATGTAACCAGGTAGTATTCCAGACCTCACACAAATCATTCGATTTGAAATAAGTAAATAAATATAAAAAGTAAATCAATGTTATAATGAATAAATTATCACACTGAAACTAAAACAAAATATTACCCTGGATAACCATTATATTGAATTTAAAAACAACGGAAGTAATGTTAAATGAAAAGTTACAATGAATTAAAAAAATGTAATTTCAATGATTAAGATCATGAGTCAGTTGAAGCTAGACCACCATGGAAAACCTGGAAGCACTGGACGGCCGTTTCGTCCTATTATGGGACTCCTCAACATTGCGCATCCACGACCTCGCCCTATGCGAGATTCGAACCCAGGACCTACTGGCTTCGCGGGATAGTAACTCACTGAAGACAATGGTGGATGTGTCACTCAATTTCGTGGATTAGTTGAATTTAGACATTAACACCGTTGGATGCCAGCCGGCTCAGTGGTCTAGTGGTTAAGTGCTCGCGCGCGAAGCCAGTAGATCCTGGGTTCGAATCTCGCAGGGGGTGAAGTCATGGATGCGCACTGCTGAGGAGTCCCACGATAGGACGAAAAAGCCGTCCAGTGCTTCCAGGTTTTCCATGGTGGTCTAGTTTCAATTGACTCATGATCTTAATCATTCAAATTACTACAATTTCCACAAAGCCCTTCTGATAAAAAAAATGTAGTTTTGCTTCTTTCTTTTTTTCATATCTCGTCATATCAATGATGTACTCATTCCCCTATATGAAACAAAATACACTATGAAGTTTAAACCTTATTCATGAGTTATTGGTTAAAGTTTCAAGTTGAAATCAATAAACTTGGTACAATCAATATCAAGTTCATCTATATTACAGTTTCATTTCATTTACATTATTAGATTCTATGTAGTAGTGAAACTCTTTAGAGACTGAATGTTAAACCTTATAAATTTCTTTTAAACAATAGTATTATTTATGGGTAGAGATGGATGATGGCTTCTTATCCCGAAGCTTGGCAGTTATACATACATGTATTCCAGTATTGATATTCACACCGTAACTCTAACTCAATACTATTTGTGTTATCCATTTAGCTATTGGATTTAGATAGTTACTGACTTATGTAATAAAATGAATGATACTTAGTTCAAGTCTGAGAGTGAACATCATTTCTGATGCTTAGGTATATCCATCTAACGAGTATCGAATAGGAATTAACTGAAGTTCTAGATTTCATTGTTATCTACCATACATTTCTGCTTAAAAATATTTATAACTTAATGATTATATATATCAAAGCAATCTTCACAGAATTCGAATATAGATACTTTATACAATTGAGCGTTTCTTTTAGCGAGTTAGTTTTCTACAGGATGGAGTTGTTAACCTCCATACCCAACCCTTCTCCTTTATCCGGTCTTGAGATCGGTAGTAGCCCCTGGAGAGATTCCAGGCGGAATTACTTTATACAATATTACAAACTATTCAATAATTATGTAATATTATGAGTTTTTTTTTTTTTTTTTGTTTTTTGTTTTTTGTTTTTAAACAATGATTAACATCCATCCATTCATATTCATCTATGAATGTTTAACTTCAATTGTACTTCTAAAACATATCTCCGACCATATATATATCCATTTGATGTACAGATTCTATGATAATCCCTTTTAATTTCCCCTATTGTCATAATAATCACTTTGTTTAATGTAGTTTAGTTTAATAATGACAATGAGAAAAAAAAAAAAAAGAAGTGATAAACAAATTACCGCAATTATACTTTTTAAGTTTCTCATTAAATCAGATTCATGATAGATGAAAGTAAATCAAGTTTCATACTTAGTAGATATAAACAAAGATGGATAATGGCTAGTAGTGGAATTTAGTTTAATGCACGTTTCGTTCTATTTGGGACTAGTCAGATGGATATGACTGCATCACAGAGTTGATGTTCACTCTGGGACTCGAATCTAGTATGGTTCGTTTCAAATGACATTGTGTTATCCATTTCATAGGCGGCCTGCTTGAATATCTGGGCTACCTGTTCCTCACATCTAGATATTTCGTCAAGTTATCTATTTTCTTGTTTGTTTTAACACACTATTATGTCTATTGAGCTCACAACCTATTCAGGCGCGTTTATGAAAAGTTTACAATCTTTCACAACCAGCAACATCATGGTGGCTTGCAATATGCATTGAAACGAATGAACATTATTCAGATGTCGATTATCGAACTTTTAACAACTAACTGGCTATCACTCAATATTTATCGTCAGGATCGATCAAGGTATAAGAAAAGGAAACTTGTTGAAATACTTTATGCTGAGAATTCAATAGTGTACCACAAATATAATGTTGAATAAAGCTTATAATGATAATAATAATAAGTACTGATTCTTGATAGCCACCTGCTTGTGCAATGGAGTTTGAGTCCTGGAGTGAACATCAACTCTGGGATGTAGGTACATTCAGCTGACAAATCTCAAATAGGATGAAATCAGCGTCAAACTGGATTCCACTACTAGCCATTATCCATCTTTACTTAAAAAGCTTGTAACTTAAGGCTATATCGAGGCAATCCAAACATGATGCATACATGCCAACATGAGACTAATCAATTGCAGTTCTAAATAATAATAGGAAAATGCTAGTAAAACAACACCAAGTGAACTTAGTAGATATAGGTAATAAAAAATAAAAATATTAAAAAAAAAATCTGAAACTAAAAATTTTCTGGTTACAAAATAGTTGCCTAGACGTTTGAACAGTCCATTATGGTAGTAGTACTACACTTAATCTACTTAACAACAATCCTTAATCAACTTCTGATATTATGTCACAATCATATAATGTTATTATCAATATAAACTAGATTAACCTTAAGAAGAGACTCTTAGATAATTTGTTTCTGATACTGTTATAACTTGTAACCTGTGTGCCCTGTTAATGTAATAACGTGATGATGCTACCAATTAGAGAGCAATGAATTATCGATCGGACCAATGACGCCTAAAACACGTACAGGCAGTCTAGAGTACTTATCGATCCTACTTCCTGTCTAGCCCAGCCAGTTAAGTCCAGAACACCAATCTCAGCCTCTGCAATATGAACCATTTATTTCAAACATACAAGGTTGATATTACCGACCAGACAGACCATATCGTACTAATAAAATAGGAAATAACATTTATACAAGATTTGGCCAAATATAGTTGTGAATGTGGAAGGTAGTAATCGATAGACAGGGCATAACTCAAGAATAGGATAATAGCAGTATAATAACACTTCATCGGTCATAAGAAGGCTCATAATAAGAGGGATATGAATATGCATAGTTTAATTATTTAACAATTATACGATAAAAATATACGTATAGTAATGATCCATAAATGGATCCCAAAAAGTTACCATTCATTATTCTTATCGGGACATAACAACTGCGCCCTGCGAAGCTATCATATTCTCTTTATTGATGTCTGTTTTTCTCTTCTTTTTTTTCTTTTTTAAAATGTTCTTTAGCCTCCAGATAATCCAAATGCTTTACCAAAACAAGTTGGAAATAAAACAGAATGTGCTTTATTAGGTTTTGTCAAATCTATTGGACGTAGCTATGAAGATATACGTACACAATGGAGTGAAGAACGTTTATATAAAGTGTATACATTTAATTCAATACGTAAATCAATGAGTACAGTTATTAAAGAATCAGATAATCCAATGTCATTTTTATTGTTTACTAAAGGTGCTTCAGAAATGGTTGTTAAATGGTAAGTTGTTTTTTTTTTTGACGACTATTGATACTCAGAACCACATTCGTTTACTTTATGTTGGTATATGGTCTATTTGAGTAGATGCCTCAATAACTCCCCATAGTTACAACTATGAACGTGTTTCTTTTTTTTTTCTTTCAATGATAGCTATCAATGGAATCTGGAATGTACGCTTAATCTTTTTGGTTTTGAAACGCTACATCAGAATTTACCACTATTATGATGTACGGCCGAGGGTAGAGAGAGTCAGCTCTTTCTCTCCAAATGCTCTCACATGGCCACGTCTATATAACCACTTTCATAGAAGTCTTAATCACTGCCTTCTCTCTAAGAGAGTGTTGCCTACGAAATTAAGAGGACGAAAAGCGAATATCCGGCACTCTAACCGGGTTGGTGGACACGAAGAGTTCACCTTGGGGAGTTGGAAAACCTTACTTCCAAACCAATGGTACACATGGGCTGGCTCCAGTATCCTGAACGAACAAATGGCATATAAACCAATCATTGGTCACCAGCTACCATGAGATTACATCTACTTACGATGCTCCACTGTCTTGTAGATCAGACTTTTAGGTCGAAAGTTCCGGGTGTAGTCCCCTAAGAAAATCACCTGCTTCGGTTTGGACACTCAGGTAGCATTCTAGCCCTCACACAAACCGAACGATTTATGTGGCGCATATGTATTTGGTGCCTCCTTGTACCAATGTTTTTTCTTTGCTTAAATAAATAAATAAATCACATTAAAATTTGAACTTCAATGTCCTTACCACCTGTGAATTTTAGCTGACGAGTCTTAAGGAAATAAACACGCAATCTGCATGTTTCGTTACTAGTCATTATTGATAATCAATATTACTGTTATTTGAATTGATAAAGAAGTTAAAACGTGTCTGTTTCTAATAACCAGATACTTAAAGGTCTGGGATTCGATTTATGATAGGTCAATGAATGCTTAATGCTGACGAGTACCATACTAGAACGAAATATATGTCCAATGCTAGATGGTTTTCACTGAGTGTTTAGCTAAGATGAGTGTTCTATAGTGTAAACTACAATTGTAGTGAACAGAACACGAGTGGGGTCTACCGAATGTATTCGACAGCAAATTATAATACTTGTTAATAAAATCTAAAAACCATATATTAAATGCTCAATTTTCAAATTGTTCATCAATTGTTTCAAATGAGTCAGAATTCCTTTGTTCTTACATTTTCATACAAATTGCATTCTGTCTTCATTCTTTACTGTTCGATTTTCTCGTTTCTCTGCTGCCAGACATTCTGTTCACAACTCACGTCATATACTACTTATGTCTACATAAGTAACACATACCACACAATATTTGAAAGATAATAATTGACCTACTACATTTGAACAAACGGCTTCAATTCAATAATTCGATGACAATATATAACATAGGGGGGGGGAAGTTTAAAACAATTGCAGTCAATTTCTAGCCAGTTCTTAATCATTTAGAAAATAGCCTATAGAATTCGATAACTTATGGAAATGAAAACTGTAGTTTCTCAAAGCGTAAACAGATTTTACATAATTGACAAGTATATTAATATCTTCAGGTTACTCTATGTGTAAAGCTCAAAAAAAAAAAAAAAAAACAAAAGAACAACTTATTAACTCGTTCTTATAGATATAGATTGTCCATATTCTTAAACTATTAAAAGGGTCCAAACAGATTTGTAGAAGTTCATATGATTATTCCTAGTTGGAGGTAGGCGTTAAGGATAAGGATTAATGGTTCAGAGTGAAGATTTAGTAAAATAACCCCAATAAGTGTTGATTTATCTGTTATGTGCAATATTAAAAGACATAATTAGAGATTTAGCATATTTAACAACATTATTTTAAACATTTTGACCAATTTGCATCCTGTGCAAATTTCTTCAATATAGTTATCATGTCACAAGTTCATAAACGATAGATAGAATATGGCTAAGTAGATAACCCGTAAATTATTAAGTCCAAATCTCGTAGTGAATATCAACTCTAGTAGGCAAGTGCATCTTTCTAATGAACCCTATATTGGATTAAACATGCTTCCTAGATTCCACTGCCAACTACAATCTATTTATTTCATCAGTTAGTCAGTCAGTCAGTCAGTCAGTCAGTCAGTCAGTCAGTCAGTCAGTGACAACGTAGGACCAGGTACATACATGCATCGGTCTAAGTTGCCATACCTCCTTAGTACAGTGAGACTTCGCCTTCGGACCTTGGGTTTGTTGCTCTTAGTCTTACCGCTCTTCAACCGACCTGTCTAGCAGAGTAGGATCTTGAGGAACGATTGTTCCAGCCATTATAGCTCGTTCGCTTCATCACGATAAACAAACCCAACAGTGATGTTCCTTTCCCACATTGTAGAATGAAGTTAGACAAGGTCGACCCTAAAAATCCACACCTCCTTATCTCACAGATATCCATCTTCGGCGTTACGGTCTCAACAAGTACGGAGCTAAGACAAAAACTACTCACAAAAAGGTCGTGTGTGTGACCGTTTTCAAGCAGTTATCCCTTGGGTATTGCGGTCACGCTCTCAGGTCACTAAGACCACCTTTAATTTAATTTCCTTTTCACGTACTTTATGCCAACTTACGTCACCTATGGCGAAGGCGAGATATCCATCTATCAATTGAAGAACGAGTATACTGCTCTGTTTTAATCAACGGCAGCGAAACATGGCTATTAAGAGTAGAAGATACTCGTACGCCACTAGTATTTGACCACAGATTCCCTAGAAATATTTCTCGCGTCTGCTGGGATCACCGGATAAGTAATAGTGAGGTTAGACGCAGGGTATTAGTGAATGATGGTAAATCAGTTGACGAAGTTGTAAATCATCAACTGAGATGGTTGGGCCATGTGTTACGTATGACTGAACACCGACTACCACGACGTGCAATGCTCACTAGTGTTGGGGATGGTCGGAAGAGAGTTAAGGCCCGATAAACTAAAACATGACATCAGTCCATAGAGTCACTAACTTCTGGTCTGAGCCATGTTGGTAGATGCAGACTACTTGATTGGAGTCTGCGTGACTATCGTAACCAATGGTTGGAGACTCTTGGTGACATGACTCAGAATCGATCACAACGGCGTCGGTGTATACACTTTTTGTCTTCCCTTAAACTATGAGAATAAAATCACTTCATATCTTTCTTTCTACGAACTAATTCTTTCTTCCTGTACTATATCTTTATATGTAATCTTTCTTCTATATATTACCACCATTGAATAAACTACTTCTATGAATCCAGTGTTCATCTTGTTGTGCTAATACGATATGGCAACTTGAACCGATGCACATATTTACCTGGTTCTATGTTGTAGCTGGCTGACTAACCTCTTCACGTACCTCTAGAAGAATCCTTCCACGATGTAGGCAACCGGTAAGTGATAACCACCCTCATACCTCTAATAGCACTCAAGACTATTCTATATTTATTCTATATAAAAATATTTCTATTATTCATCATATTCGATAAACCAAAAATCTAATTATTAACTTTTCTATTCTGTTTCATGTGAATAATTCAATTTCTTTGTGAATTTATCAAAATATCAATGAATAGAAAGGTCCTTAAAATGAAATAATTTCTTCTTTCTTTCTTTTTTTCTTTCTTTTTTTCTTTCTCTCTTTCTTTCCTTTTTTTTTTTCTTTCTTAATGGATAAAATAAACATTTCATTTGTTTAATCACTTATTGGGCACTTATGCACAAATGTATAAAATCAATGATGTTCCTATTTTCATTTGCTTTATTTGTACATTAGCACCATTTCCATTTCTACATAACATACACACACCCACCCCACCCCCACATACATACATACACACAGGACTTGAACAACAGAGAGAAAGAGAAAGGGAGAAAGAGAGAATACAATAAACCTGGTTTGTATTATATGTATATAACCATATGACATATAATAAAACACTTGTATATATGTCCTTATTACATTATCATAAATGTCAACTCTGTTATATCTAATATATAATTATAAATTACCTATTAAATTGACTAAATCTTTTTTATTTTTCTTCTTCTTTTTATGCCTCTAGTCTATTAAAATTGATTATTAAAAGTAGATAGTGCAATTTAGATTTTTGTACTTTTTATATTTATAAAATTATATTCAAAAGAAATTGACAGGAAACATTTCTGTGTGTTTATGTTGTCGGTTCTTTTTTTTATGTTCTTTCTTGAAATGATTACTTCTGTGGTTGTTTGTTTGTTTGTTTGTTTGTGTGAAACTGGTAAACAACCCCCTCCCCGAAATGCCCTGGTACGGCCGGGAATGAGGAGAGTCCTCTTTCCCTCATGCGTATATAGCCTCTGCCAGGGAAATCCTACCCACTGCATTCTCGAACCATGGGTGTTGTTAACGAAATTGAGAGGGAAAAAAAAGCGAATGTTCGGCACTTTAACCGGGTTGGTGGATACGGAAAGTCTACCTGGGAGAGTTGGAAAACCTTACTTCCAAACCAATGGTGCACATGGGCTGGCTCCAGTATCCTGAAGGAGCAAATGGCGTATGAACCAATCGTTGGTCACTGGCTACCATGGGACTGCATCTCCTTACGATGCTCCACTGCCTTGTGGATCAGACTTTTAGGTCGAAGGTTCAGGGTGTGGCCTCCTAAGAAAACCACCTGTTTCGGTTTGGGCACTCGGGGGCAGTATCACAACCCTCACACATATCAAATGAAATTTGTGTGGCGCATATGTATTTGGTGCCTCCTTGTACCAGTATTTATGTGTTCCAATAAACAATGAAAAAAATCAGTTGAAGCCGAATAACAATAGTCGATAAACAAAAAATTCATTGGATATCTACCAAGTTATTGTAATATTGGACCATGCACTATGAGACCTAATGATCCTGAGTCCGATTCCTGATGAGATTAGGCGTACCCACTGTTGAAGAGTTCTATATTAAGATGAAATAGTTGCCTGATCCTTCTTGATTTTCAATGCTACCCCAATCGATATCAAACCTGTAGGGAATACAACCGACGAATTAAAGCAATCTCCACAAAGCCCCTTCAACTACTGTATTGAGTTTGGGTTTCTCTCAACTTTCTTATACACGCATATCTGGGGTCGTGTCCTGTTTATTCAAATAGAACAAAACGCGCTCTGGATCTTGACGCTAGTCACAGTTCATCTGTAGATATCCAATTGCCTGTAGTTCTTATTTGTTTCTTAATCTAATTGAGTTATCTATCTTAATGCCCTTAAAATAATGAACTATTCATATAAATTATTATTTTTTTTAAAATAACCCTTCAATCTATAAGTTGTTCATGGATGATGGATGAACAAAATAGAGCAAGACCATTCAGTCTACAAGATCAAGAACGTTTAACTGAAGCAGTGATTGAACCAATGGCAGGTGAAGGTCTTCGAACCATTGGTATAGCTTATAAAAAAATCACAATAGGTAAGTACTCTCTTGTGTGTGTATGTATGTATGTATGTATGTATGTGTGTGTGTGTGCGTTTCGATCTTTGGAAACGTATATTGTCTTTGTTTCTTTAGATTTTAAGGAAAAGAAAATTCGAAAGTTTTAAGAAAAAAAAAAAGAAAAGAAAAGAAAACTGATCATATTCTAAGAACGTCATCATATCTAACATAAATTGGATTGTACTAAATTGATTTGCATATTTCCCTTGACAACATAATAAATTATATGAAAGAAAATTTACATTCGAAAATTATTTGCCTTATTGAATCACTATCTAAAATGTATAATTTAACTACTTCCTATAAGTTACTACTTTTATCAACTGATCAATTGACTATAATCAATCAGTCACTAAGGCGAAATGATTAAGACAAATATTGGAGTAATAAAAGTAGCGATAGTATTAGTAGTAGTCGTAAGAAAGATTATGGTGTATGCTACTTATGTTGACAAATATAAGTAGTATGTCACACACTTATCGGAACTGGATTACCTACGAGCAGAAGATTAGAATAAAGTAATGAGCGAAAACTAAAAGCAATCCAAATAACAACAGGAATAAAGAATCTGTATGATTGTGATCAGTTCTAAGACATGTCACTCCATGTCTTCATACATTGACTATGATAATTACTCGGACACCCGCAAATGCCCCTCGGAAGGGCTAAGGTTGAGGAGAGTCCGCTCTCCCTCTGGAAATGCTCTCATGTGGCCACGCGTATACAGCCACTGACAGGAAAGTCCTACTGATTGCCTTCTCGCAGCTGGGATGTTGTTTCTGAAATTGAGAGGATGAAAAGTGAATGGAGGATCTACCTACGGAAGTTGGAAAATCCTACTTTCAAACCAATAGTGCACATAGGCTCCAGGATCCCGAATAAACATATGACAATATGAACGTGTTGTTGGTCACCGGCTACCATGAGACTGCATCTCCTGAGGTTGCCCCACTACTTTATAGATTAAACCTTTAGGTGAAAGACTCGAGTAGTGGCACCCTAACGAAACTATCTGCTTCAGTTTGGGCATCCAGGTAGCATTCTATCCCTCACACAAATCATATATATTTGGTACCTTCTTGTACCATTGTTTATTTGCTTAAATAAATAATCTTCATCTGCCTATATGGCTTTTAATTGTTTTCTTTCTTCATTCATTGTTATTATTTACATTTGTTTAATTGTATTGTTCATCTATATTGAATGTAGCTACAAATTCAAAAAGTCCAAATGATATGATTATACAAAATGAACCAAATTGGGATGATGAAGAACATTTATTAGAAGGTCTTACATTATTAGGTATTATTGGAATTGAAGATCCAGTTCGACCAGAAGTACCAGCTGCTATACGTCAATGTCAAAAAGCCGGTATCACTGTACGTATGGTAACTGGTGATAATGTAAATACAGCAAGATCAATTGCAATGAAATGTGGTATTATACAACCAGGTGAAAATTTTCTTGTTATTGAAGGTAAAGAATTTAATCGACGTATTCGTGATAAAGCAACTGGTAAAGTTAGACAAGATTTATTTGATCAAGTATGGATTAATTTAAGAGTATTGGCTAGATCTTCACCTCAGGTGAGTTATTTTTCTTTTATGTATGTGTTATATATAAATTTGTTGATTTTTATAGCTATGAAACACTTCCCTTTAACGTAGAAGATATTCGTAGGTTACTAGTATATGGTCGTAGGTATATCCGAAATATTACTCGTATATTTTGGAACCATCGAGTTAGAAATTCTGAGATTAGACGCAGATTACTAGATACGTATGGTTAAACAATCGACGAATTGGTGAATCCTTATTAACTGAGACAATTAAGACATATATTACATTTCCCTATCCACCTACTACTTTGACGTCCAATCATGATTGTTATATAGTTGGCTGGAAAAAGAGGGCGCCTAAATCAAACCGAGACATCAGTCTATGAAGACATTAACCATTCGACTGAATCATGTAGGTAGGTGTAGATTACTTGTTTGTGGTTCACATGATTAACATAACCAATCGGTCAGAAACTTTAAGTGATATTTCTCAATAGATCACATGCATTCACTCTTTGTCTTCACAACTATCTTAACTCTTTATTAATGATTTTCATTTTATTTTGCTAATCCATATTTCCTCTTTGAATCGTATCTTCAATGATTAATCATTTCTATTAACATGAATACTCTTATTACCTCTACTATTCTGAGATTTCCCCTGACAATTTCACCTCATTGTGTTAATATGGTATGGCAACTTAAACTTATGTTCATACGTGCCAGGTTTTATATAGCGTTCAACTAACTGACTGACTGACTGACTGATCGACGACTGAAGTGAATATTGTCTTTTGATGTCACGTTCTATAATGGCTGATGATGTTGCGTAGGGTATTAATAAAATATTCGTAATTATGAATAACCTATCATAGAGAGAATACAATACCTTTATATTTGACATCTTAATGATACAAATAAATTATTTTAATTGTTCAGTTATAATAATATCTTAAATATTTTTTGATTGGGATCATGAACCGATTGATGTTAGACCATTATTAAGAACCTGGAAGCACTGGATGGCCTTTACATCCTATTGTGGGACTCCTCAACAGTGTGCATCCACGATCCCACTCGCGGGATTCGAACGCTTAACCTACTGAACTACTGAGTCGGTATCCAATGGTGTTAATGTTTAACCTCAACCAATCCACGAAATTACGCGACCATCTTCTATTATCTGAGGTGGATACTTATCTCTACCTAACACGGATTAGCTCCTCTGGTCACGGCTTCTTACTAGAACTTCGAGAATTATCTCTTGAAGCTAATCAGTAGTGAGCACATGGTAACTATCAATTAAGAGTTGTGGAAATTTTTTCGATGTGTTTTCTTCTTTAATAATATCTTTTTTTTCATGAATGTAATATGTTGTAGTACCGATAAGATTTCAATCTTGATATGTTTGTTATCGGTTGATACAACTATCACAGCTGTTTCTCTCCGTGTGTATGTGTTTGTCTGTATGTCTCAAGAAGTATTCATAAATCAGTTAAATCATATTTCAGTATGACAGTTTGTTATCTATCTGATATGTTCTGTTAAGTTTGATTCTTATAGAAATGAGAAAACATAAGATAAAACATGAATAACTTACTTATTTACCTTAAGTTGTGTATTCTTTCACATGAAGGGAAAAAAAATAGATAACTATACATCTCCTATGGTATGCATGTATGTATATATATATATATATATATGTGTGTGTGTATTATCTGTATTATCTCTAGCTGCCTGTCAAGAGAACACAAGTTGTACATGTTGATTAAGCTAAAAATGGATCTAAATATTGTTCCTAGTAACGAAATAAAGCTTATTCAACATTAACAAAATAATAAACACATTAGTAACTATATCATCATTGTCATCAATCTTCTTAAAGATAGATATTATATTAAGTTTATGAATTGAACAGTTGAAAAAATGTAACACGAAAGGAATTCTATACAGTTTATGTGTAAATTAGTGAATTGAGTTGATCTGATCTAATCTAACTATTTTAATCTTATTTGTAATGGTCACAATTGAATGATCACTGGGTGGTGACCAATATCATGCGTGTCTAGTCCTTATTATTAATGCAGATCAAATGCTATCGATCATGTTGCAATGTGGCTACCAGTCTACGTGACTCGACAATCCGGGCATTATTGTGAGATTAGATGGTGGTTGGAAGTAGTCGACAGGAAACCCTGAACCCGGGTTTCGTGCTACTTGACACTCGTCAGTAAGGTGTACCTGTAATCTTTGAGGGAACTGGTTCTCCCTGACAGATTCGATCCCGTGTCATCCAGATTCACAGTCAGAGACGTTACCACTGACCTATCTATCCGCCCGTGTCCAGGGTTTCCTGTCGACTACCTCCAACCACCATCTAATTTGTAATGGTGTTTGTTTTTTGTAGATTATCATCCCTTTATTGATATTTTGACTTAATTTTGAGTTGTCCCAATTATCGTGTGTGTACATTTTGTGTAGATTGTTTTGTTACAAGTTCGAATAGAACAAATGTGACTATCTGAATTCAGTAGCTAAGTAAACAATTCGTTAAATGTTTGAAACAAAAGGCAATAGGTTCGAATCCCAGAGTGAATATTAACTCTAGGATATAGGTACATAAAGCTGACATATCCTAAATAGGATAAAACACTAGCCAAAATCCATCTATTTTATATTAAATAATTATTCACTATTTTTATTGTGGAAATTAATGGTAATTCTCCTGCTTGCTCATTCACTCTCACACATACATCTCTGTTTTCCTCTTTCTTCTTCGGTTATCTGCCCATTTTTCCTTGTTTGTTTATCATTGGTAGACCTTGTCACTTCAAGTTATTGATTATTAGGTCAATTATAATTACACGAGTATGTGTTCGTAATGCACGAGGACACGATAACAAATATGGTCTCGTAGCGAACACTTAAGCATTAGAAACACTGAATCAATGCATAATGATACAACACTGATTCCAACCAATTCTCAACATAACTGAGTGATTATCTAATAACTGAAATCTATCTGTAATGAATAAAACCTACAAATTAAACCAATATTTTTTTATTGAGATCATGAACTGATTGATGTTAGACCACCATTGAAAACCTGGAAGCACTGGACGGTGGTTTCGTCCTATTGTAGGACTCTTCAGCAGTGCGCATCCACGATCGGAGTTCTAGTGAGAAGCCATGACCAGTGGAGTTAATCCGTATCGGGTAGAGACAGGTATCTACCTCAGTACAATAGAAGACAGTCACGGAATTTCGTGGATTGGTTGAGGTTAGACATTAACACCGGTAGATGCGCGTTCGCGCACAAGACTGAAAGCCATGGGTTCGAATCCCACGAGTGGGATCGTGGATGCACACTACTGAGGAGTTCGACAATAGGACGAAACTGCCATCTAGTGATTCCAGATTTTCCATAGTGGTTTAAACTTCAATTGACTCATGATCTCAACTATTAAACCTACTATAATTCAATTGCTTAAGTAGAATGTAAATCGTGAAACATATTTCATTCAATTACTATAAACATGATAATGTCATCCTTCACATAGTATATTTATGTGTTAAATATGAGGATTACCTATTCACACATATAAACACATCTATGTATTACATACTTACTTATTATCATTATGATCCGTTCTGAAAATTGGATCAACATTTTTTTTTCTCAACAATACCAACTCAACGAACTAATATTTACACTATATAGTACAACATTGTATTATTTACACACTTAGATTATTATAAATAGTTGAATAGATGAATACACAATATGTACTACTACAATACTTACCAATTATTATTATAACTATTATCAATACTACTAACCATTGTGATTAGTGATAATCATGATAAGTAGTAGGTAAATGTAATTGATTGATAAAAAAATGGATACAATGATTCATATTAATCTAATTTTAAGACATAAGAATTTTGATTTTGAAAGGAATTTCCGGCGCTTTAACCGGATCCCAAATCAATGGTGCACATGGGCTCCAGTATCCTGAAGGAGCAAATGGTGTATGAACCAATCGTTGGTCACCGGCTACCATGGGACTGCATCTCCTTACGATGCTCTACTCCCTTGTGGATCAGATCTTCAGGTCGAAGGCTCCGTGTGTGGCCTCCTAAGTAAACCACCTGCTTCAGTTTGGGCACCCGGGGGCAGTATCACAGCCCTCACACAAATCAATTGAGATTCGTGTGGTGCATATGTATTTGGTGCCTCCTTGTACTAATATCTATGTGTTAAAATAAATAAATAAACTACTACAATACTTACCAATTATTATTATAACTATTATCCATACTACTAACCATTATGATTAGTGATAATCATGATAAGTAGTAGGTAAATGTAATTGATTGATAAAAAAATGGATACAATGATTCATATTAATCTAATTTTAAGACATAAGAATTTTGATTTTGAAAGGAAACCAAAAAAAAAAAAATACCCAACTCATTATTTCAATCATTCCTTTGCATTCTACTGAAATCAGTAGTATCATGTATGTGTATATTAATGAGTTTACATTTGTACATATGTACTAGTGTTATTGTTGTATATGATAAACATTTAATTAGTAACTAAAATTAACAGGGTGGATGAAAATGTACACTGGTATTTTTGTTGTTGTTCTTGTTAAGTGTACATACTTTATTTAGAATAGAAATTTTCAATATGAATATGAATTGTATTCATTCTATTCCAGTCAGTCAGTAACAACATAGAACTTCGTACGTACATCAGTTCGAGTTGCTATACCACATTAGCACACAGATACAATTGTCGATTCAAATCCCATAGTGGTAGAGGTAATAAGAGTATAAGCAGTAATGGGTATGATTAGGTTTTGAGGATGTTATTCAAGGAGTATAATCCAGTGAAATAACTTCGGAAGGAGGGAAAAAAGAAGGGACGTGAAGAATTCAGAAGATTAGAATTTGAGAGAACACAATGAGTGGATACACACCTGCGCCATTGTAAACGATTTCGAGCAATGTCATTTAAGGTCTTTAACTATCGGTTGCCATCATCTCGTGGATCCCAACCAGGTTGTTTACACCTACCACCAACATGGCTCAGTCCACTTGTCCAGTGACTTCATGGATTTGTGTCATGTTTTGGTCTGACCGCCTCTAGCTTTCTTCCAACCTATTCCTACACCACTGAACATTGAACGTCGGGGCACTCTATTAATCATTAACATTGAATCAAACTGAAGCGGTTCAACTGAATTTATTATTTTATATATAAAATAAAAGTCACTCGCAAAGTAGAACTTGAAATATGGATACATCACTTCAAGTGACCAGTTGTCAAGGCCAATCCTAGAATAGTAGAGTTAATAAGAGTATTCATGTTAATAAAAATGATTAATCATTGAAGATACGATTCAAGGAGAAAATATAGATGAGTAAAATAAAATGAAAATCATTAATAAAGAATTCAGATAGTTGTGAAGACAAACAGTGAATGCATGTGAGCTATTGAGAATGATTTTCAAAAATATCACATGAGACCGATCAATTGCAGTCTTAAATAACAATGGGAAGATACAAGTAAAACAACATCTAGTGAATTTAAATTTCACCCTATTGCACAAGCAGGTGGCTATCAGCACTCAGTAGCTAAGTGGATAACACGATGGCGTTTGAAGCGAATGGTACTGGGTTCGAGTCCCAGAGTGAACATCAACTGTGAGATGCAGGTACATCCAACTGACGAGTCCCAAATAGGACGAAACGCGTGTTAAACAGGATTCCACTACTAGCCACTATTCATCTTTGCTTAAAATGCTTGTGACTTAAGGCTATATCGAGGCAATCCGCACACGTTGCATATATGCCAACATGAGACTGATCAATCGCAGTACGAAATAACAATCGGAAGATACAAATAAAACAACAGGTGAATTCAATATCACTTAAAGTTTCCAACCAATTGGTTATGTTAATTATACGAACCACAAGCAAGTAATCTACACCTACCTACATGGTTAGGGTGTCTTCATTGGTCTGAAAAAGAAAGTAGACAAACATTCATTACGAATTCATTTCAGTGACGTATTATTTCTAGTTAACCAAAACTTCTTTGATTCCCACCTAGTAGTTGCTACTGCTATATAATGGCAACACACCAATTATAATATCTTCCACTCTGTCATGCGCCTTCATTTCTAGTTCCATCCAATTATCCGCCTGGAGTCCCTACGGGGGTACTGCCAGTCTCAAGCCCGGATAAAGGAGGAGGGTTGGGCATGAGGTTAGCGGCCCCATCCCGTAGAAAACTAACTCGCTAAAAAAAAACACTAACCAGAAAAAATTATTCATGTTTCTCATTAGTTTTAGTTAATGATTTCTATTTGAACCCAGTCAACATATAACAACATTATTCCATCAACTTTAAATAAACGTAAGATATCGTATATAGATAAAGATTCATCACCGGTCTAAGATGTTACTCTGCATGTATTTCGGAAATAGTTGAACAGTTATGTCAGTAATGTTGTTTGTAGGGGAGAACTGAATAATCACTATTATTGTTACCTAAGTTCTTCAACAGTTAAATATTACAATCATATCTGACCTATATTGTAAACAAAATGCTTGCTTCTTTAAATACAACTTATTCTAATATCCAATGGCATTATTAGCCGTCACTGTGTCTTAATTTTGTCATCCTTAATAGCTGTTGTAAAAAATAACTCCTATGTTAACTGAAATGGTACTGTGAACCTGTTTGTGATTAGGCATTACTTAGACATATCTCAACCATAGCGTTAATGTTAGACTTATTCGTGTGTATATGTTAATGGATTTGGGAAATTTGATATTTGTAATGATCGCAAACAGATCTAAGTTGGGCTACCGTTGAAAACCTGCATGCATTGAACGACTGTTTCATCCTAGCATGAGACTTCTCGTCAGTGCGCACCCGTGACCCTGCAAATGAGAACCAGACTAAGGACTATCGGTCGCATGCATGAACACTTAACCTCTAGATCACTGAGCTGAGATCCAACTATGTTAATGTCTAACTTCAGTCAATCCGCGACCATCTTCCATTGTCTTCAGTGGGTAGCTTCCCCATACCGGATATGGTTTAGCTCGATTAGTCATTTGCATGTCTGTTAGTGATGTGAGGCGTGAATAGTACGAAATCTATGGATATTTTGACAAATGGTCCATTTTGGATTGACATTCAGGTCTTCCTTTCTGTTAAGTTCAGTGAGTTTCATGATTGGAAAAACATTTTTGAATTATTCTGATATTGTTACTACTTAAGCTTATTTTTTATACATCCACTATTGACGTTTGTTCACTCGTTGAGTTAATATTGTAATAACATATTATTATAATGATTATCAGTAACTATGACTTCACCACCTGCCCTCATTCACCATAATTAGTCACTCAGGGTACAAACCAAACTTAAAGATTACTATGTATTTTGCATTATTCCTCTTCATTCTGTGCTTTTCCGTTTTGTTTTGAGCATTTAAATCAGTTTCAAAGTTTGTAAAGAGACCTTGGTTCGTAATCATACTACTATTCGTAGTGATAAACCGGTTTACATTTGGTTAATAAGATGTTTTCAAATGGGGCTGATATGCAGCGATTGAAAGTAATTTACATGAGATCATCCTTCACCTAAGTTTCTTTCTAGTTGGCACTCATCCGCAAGATATATCTATAATTTCTAAGGAACTGACACCCAGTATGAAACTTGAAGTTGTGTAACTAAACTTCTCAATCTGAGACGTTATCAATGGGGCTAGTTGAGACATAGATCAAACCCAATGATGGTAAATGTATCTGGATTCTACTAATCATTCGGTTATTCATACTTTTGATTGAGATCATGAATCGACTGATGTTAGACTTCCGTTGGAAACCTGGAAGCACTGGACGGCCGTTTCGTCCTAGTATGGGACTCCTCAGCAGTGCGCATCCACGATCCCGCTCGCGGGATTCGAACCCAGGGCCTTCAGTCTCGCGCGCGAACGCTTAACCTACTCGACCACTGAGCCGGCATCCAATGGTGTTAGTGTCTAACATCAACCAATCCACGAAATTGCGTGACCATCTTCCATTGTACTGAGGTAAATACCTGTCTCTACCCGACACGGATTAGCTCCACTGGTCACGGCTTCTCACTAGAACTCCGAGAATTCCCTCACGAAGCTAGTCACATCAGTCGATTCATGATCTCAATCAAAAGCTTAATAATCTCCACAACCCCAATACTGTTATGAATACATTTGATTTTATTTCTAATCAGTTATTGTTAATAAAAGAGATTTAAATTTCACATATATATTTTCTTTAATAGGATAAATACACATTAGTTGGTGGGATAATTAACAGTCGTGCAGCACCATCACGTCAAGTAGTCGCTGTTACTGGTGATGGTACAAATGATGGTCCAGCATTAAAACGTGCAGATGTTGGTTTTGCAATGGGTATAGCTGGTACAGATGTAGCAAAAGAAGCATCTGATATTATATTAACAGATGATAATTTTTCAAGTATTGTTAAAGCTGTTATGTGGGGTCGTAATGTATATGATTCAATTACAAAGTTTTTACAATTTCAATTAACTGTAAATTGTGTAGCAATTATTGTTGCATTCGCTGGAGCATGCTTTTTAGATGTAAGTGAAAGTTATAACACAGAACAATTTGTCTTGAATATAAAGTTTTAAACTATAGACCACTTACTTACTTACTTACTTACTTACTTACTTACTTACTTACTTACTTACTTACTTACTTACTTACTTACTTACTTACTTACTTACTTACTTACTTACTTACTTACTTACTTACTTACTTACTTACTTACTTACTTACTTACTTACTTACTTACTTACTTACTTACTTACTTACTTACTTACTTACTTACTTACTTACTTACTTACTTACTTACTTACTTACTTACTTACTTACTTACTTACTTACTTACTTACTTACTTACTTACTTACTTACTTACTTACTTACTTACTTACTTACTTACTTACTTACTTACTTACTTACTTACTTACTTACTTACTTACTTACTTACTTACTTACTTACTTACTTACTTACTTACTTACTTACTTACTTACTTACTTACTTACTTACTTACTTACTTACTTACTTACTTACTTACTTACTTACTTACTTACTTACTTACTTACTTACTTACTTACTTACTTACTTACTTACTTACTTACTTACTTACTTACTTACTTACTTACTTACTTACTTACTTACTTACTTACTTACTTACTTACTTACTTACTTACTTACTTACTTACTTACTTACTTACTTACTTACTTACTTACTTACTTACTTACTTACTTACTTACTTACTTACTTACTTACTTACTTACTTACTTACTTACTTACTTACTTACTTACTTACTTACTTACTTACTTACTTACTTACTTACTTACTTACTTACTTACTTACTTACTTACTTACTTACTTACTTACTTACTTACTTACTTACTTACTTACTTACTTACTTACTTACTTACTTACTTACTTACTTACTTACTTACTTACTTACTTACTTACTTACTTACGCCTGTTACTCCTCGTGAAGGAGCATAGGCCGCTCACCAGCATTCTCCATCCAACCCTGTCCTGGGCAATCCTTTCAAGCTCTTTCCAGTTCTTATTCATCTTTTTCATATCTGCTTCTATTTCCCGACGTAATGTGTTCTTTGGCCTTCCTCTTTTCCGCTTCCCTTCAGGATTCCAAGTTAGCGCTTGTCTCGTAATGCAGTTTGATGATTTCCTCAATGTATGTCCTATCCATTTCCATCGTCTTTTCCTAATTTCCTCTTCCGTTAGAAGCTGGTTGGTTCTCTCCCACAAAAGGCTGTTGCTGATGGTATCCGGCCAATGGATGTTGAGTATCATGTGTAGACAGCTATTGATAAATACTTGTACCTTCTTGATGGTGGTTGTAGTAGTTCTCCAAGTTTCAGCTCCGTACAGTAGAACTGCCTTGACGTTCGTATTGAAGATTCTGACTTTGATATTGGTTGACAGACAGTTGTTTTGAGTTCCATATGTTCTTCAGTTGAAGGACCACTTGTTTAACATTTAATCCTATTCACAATATTTCATGACTTTCCATTGTCTGCTATGGATAATTGTCTCATATCTGACATGATTGAATTCCACTGGTTATGTATTCTCACCAGTACCCCAAGAATTATAGCTTAAGGTAGGGTCGTGAATGAACATTGCTAAAGAGTCTGATCTTGGAAAGAAATAGCTATTCAGTTTGTTAATTCTATAACTAAGATAATATTGAAGAGTATATTAGTTGTTTTACATAGATTACTTTAATCTTGTTTAGTTCTATGATTCATGGAGATTCTTTTGTTGTACATACCATATAGCCATATTCATGTAAAGTGATAATAACAACTAATGATGGTTTCAATCAATTTTCTTTTTTATCCAATCACAAATCGGTTTCGTTGATAGAAATATTCGTCAATCATTTCAATGTTTTGTCCAACGAACTTGTTTTAACGAAATCTTTTAGTAAATTTTTAATTATATCCATAGTAGAATAATGAAATTTGATGATGTTTGATGTGTACTTATATGGTATATGCTACTTATGTTTGTCGATATAAGTAGTATGTCATACCAATCAGAAGTGAAAAACCTAGAAGCAGAAGGTTAAAAAGATTGAGTTGTGAAGAGAATAGAAGGTAGTGGTTGACTAGAAGAATCATACAGAATGTGAAATACAAATGATGGGAACTCGCAAATGAAGTATACAATCGATTGTCCCTAATGGTGTTCTCGTTCACTACACTATTACTGAGTAAATTTAGAATCAAAAAAATTCATGCCCTAACACGATAGATAAAATTAATGTCTGTACAACAATTTGAATTTATTAGTTTACGCTAGATGATCAGATTCAGGCTGAATGATAGGACTTTGGTGATGTGACATTTTTTTCTGAGAAATTACTTTGAGAAGATACGTTCTGCTAGAGAAGATTTATCACAATTAATTGACCACTGGGTGGTGACCGATATCATGCGTGTCTAGTCCTTATTATTAGTGCAGATCGAATGCTATCGATCATGTTGCAATATGGCTACCAGTCTACGTGACTCGACACTCCGGGCATTATTGTGAGATTAGATGGTGGTTGGAAGTAGTCGACAGGAAACCCTGAACCCGGGTTTCGTGCTACTTGGCACTCATTAGTAAGGTGTACCTGTAATCTTTGAGGGAACTGGTTCTCCCTGACGGATTCGACCCCATGTCACCCAGATTCACAGTCAGAGACGTTACCACTGAGCTATCCTGGCCGCGACCGACCTCCTGTAGGACTGGGATGTAATCACAATTGATTGATCACCGGATGGTGGCCAATGTCATGCGTGTCTATATGTATTTTATATTTTAGATGGATGATTGAATTCCACTTTTTTGAACCTGAATAGTTTTATTGTGAATTCTTTTTATCGTCCTTCTAGACGGATATCATTATCAACCCAAAAACTTCGTATTGAAATAAGCTATAGAAATTTATAGCACCTTGTTTTGTTCATGTTCAATTTCGTTCGTTTCTATTAGCACTTATCATATCATTGTCTGTACCCTTATTTTGATTATCATCTAATTTAACACGATTCAATGACCTCAAAACTGTTTCATATCTTCCTACTTCGTGGATACATCGAATCTATTGCAATATTTTCAAATGACTACTGGGTGATCTTAATCTTAAGCCTCTAAAAAAACATCCACTCTTCGTTTTGTCTCCATCCAGGATTTCAACGTTTACTCAGTCGGTTTTGTGCTGACCACTGTCTAAATGCATTGAAATAAGCGAGAATATCTAGTGACGTTCATAAATCCCTTTGATGTTCATGCACATGAAGATAAAGAGTGCTACCACTCTGAGTTAACGTAGAGTATAGAGCCAAACCAATTGGGGTGAGACTATAATTTGTGGACGACCTTTGAGCGACGTTAAAGTGACCTTGAAGGTGTCCACCTGCTAACTAGAATTAAATGTAAGTTATAATGCAATGTGAGGCATTACAATTATGATTTACAGTTGATGGTTAGGGTTAGGAATTAGATTTGTGGTTTTCATCACGAACTGTCATCAGTTATAATGCCAAAACACTATTTAATCAAATGGATGAATGGTTTTCGCCCCAAGATCCAAGACCTATGATCTTAAATCTGATTGGTCTCACCACACTTCTTTCCCCAATTGTTCTGTTGTTTTGTCTAATTCCATTTTTTTCAATCTATTATACTGATCCGTTTGTTGTATATTTTTTGTCCTTACTCCCTCCCCCCCCCGTGTCCCCTCCCGCTTCCAAAAACTACCTGTAATCATTTGTAGGATAGTCCATTGAAAGCTATACAAATGTTATGGGTCAATTTAATTATGGATACATTGGCTAGTTTAGCATTGGCTACAGAACAACCATCATTGGAATTATTAGATCGTGCACCATATGGACGTACTCAACCATTGATCAGTAGACAAATGGCTAAAAATATCTTAGGTCATTCTTTATATCAATTGGGTGTTATATTTTTCTTATTATTTTATGGTAAGTCAATTTGATTGGTCAAAAACAAATGTATATTATGTCCTTGAATCATGTGATACTATTGGTTGATAAAACTTGAAAGTCTGGTCTATGATTGATATATCGATGTGATCAGCTGTTTTCTTTTTGTTGTCAACTAATCAATACTCTATAGTATTATTCCATGTTGACACTCCTAACTAAGCTAAGAAACAATATTAAACGAGTTTGGACACATGCTTTTTTTATATCCCTATGGAAATTCTTAAAATCACTTTAGTATTTGTAAGTTTATATCTTGTTGATATCAAGGACCTTCAGCATATGTACTTCCTAAGCTAATTACCTTCAACTGTTCATGGTAGGGCATAGTTACACGTTTAACAATTAGACATTTTATAACTGAGACTTATACATCATCACCATCATCATCATCATATTGTCATTGCACATAGTCAAATGTGTTAAGTGGTGAATTTAAAATAAGATTTGTGCTTGCATTATATGATAGTTTCCAGCATGGAGTATTCAACAGCAGGCTGTAGAATAACTATTAAAAGCTGATAGATATATTTTTTTAAGTTGCTCAATTCTAGTCAGAATTCATAATCCACAATATTGTGAGTAGACTGATGTTAAAGCGAAAACTTGATCCTTTCTCATTGTTAACATCAATGGTCTAATTAAATATCATTCTTATTTGGATACATAACAGTGTTTAGTGTCTCATTATTATGTTAGCAGTATGAATGTTTACAACTGAAAAGTTTCTAACTAAAACAATAATGTCAGAAGGGGTTTTGTGGAGATTGTAGTAATTTCAATGATTAAGATCATGAGTCAGTTGAAGCTAGACCACCATGGAAAACCTGGAAGCACTGGACTAGTTGAAGTTAGACATTAACACCGTTGGATGCCGGCTGGTCTAGTGGTTAAGTGCTCGCGCGCGAAACCAGTAGGTGCTGGGTTTGAATCTCGCAGGGGGCGAGCTCGTGGATGCGCACTGCTGAGGAGTCCCATACTAGGACGAAACGGCCATCCGGGTTTTCCATGGTGGTCTAGCTTCAACTGACTCATGATCTTAATAATTGAAATTAAAACAATAATTGCCAATTAATACTCTATCTCCCTTTCTTTCCTTATCTCACTCTCTTGTATTCTTCAACCTATATTAGTTTGTGAGAGTGATAACTATAACTTCAAATTCTCAGTTTAGAGTTGTGGAGATTGTTGAATCTCAATCAGGGAGAACCTGGAAGCACTGGATGACCGTTTTTGTCTAGTATAGCACTACTCATTAGTGCGTATCTACGACCTTGCAGGCAAGATTCAAACTCTATACCTTCGGTATCGCACACGAACATTTAATGAAATGGCCATTCAGCGCTTCCACGTTTCCAATGGTAGTCTAACTTAGATCAGATCATAATTTCAATGAACTTCAAATTGAACAGCCTTCTCAATTTTAACAAGTTTTTCTAATGTCGAATTATAAAGAATTTACTTAAAGGATAGCAGCTGTATCCTCTTTTGTTAAAACTGTGACCAAACTGAAACATGAAGACATCAACTGTGAGTCTGAGGCATATTGGCTGATGCAAATTGACTTGTTTGCGATCCTCGCGATTATCATAAGCAATTTTTAGAGTGGAGAGACTCTAATTTATTGACGACCTTTGAATGAATCTAAAATGTGACTGATAAATATTAGCCCATCAGCAAACATTCACTATAGAGTAAGAATATATTATACAAAACCATGGAAATAAAGTGGATACACTTCTTATACATGTCAAGATTAGAAAGAGGTTTAGAGATTCTTAAATCGTAATGCATGCAGTAGAGAAAATCATCCATACGGCTACAGAATAGACGGCCACTGGAGCCATGATTAAGTCTCAAAAACTCTTTCAACCTCGATCACATCGCTTCAATATTGTTTATCTGCACTTCGGTTGTTGAGTACGCGAAATGCCACTTATCGATAACGGCACGATGCACGTAACCAAGCCTATGTAGGCATCTGTACGTTCTCCAATCATCCGTATATATTGTAGTACCTGACTTCAGCCAGTGTTATTGGTGCTTTTATTATCCAGTTTGCAATACTTGTCATAATTTGCCTTAGTTAGAAATTATCTAAGGGGTTTTCATCACGAACTGACATCAGCTAGAATGTCAGAAATCTATTTAACCAAATGGATGAAAGGCTTTCGCGTTAAAATCCAGGATCTATTATCTTCTACCTGATTGATTCGTCCACAAATTATAGTCTCACCGTTTTATTTGTTATAGTCTCTCAATTATCACGTTTTGTACAAAGTTCCTTGTGAACTGCCTTCTCGTGGCGGGGGTGTTGTTTACGAAAATGATAGGACGAAAAGCGAATGTCCGGCGCTTTAACCGGATCCCAAATCAATGGTGCACATGAGCTCCAGTATCCTGAAGGAACAAATGGCGTATGAACCAATCGTTGGTCACCGGCTACCATGGGACTGCATCTCCTTACGATGCTCCACTGCTTTGTGGGTCAGACGTTCAGGTCGAAGGCTCGGGGTGTGGCCCCCTAAGAAAACCACCTGCTTCGGTTTAAGCATCCGGGCAGTATCACAGCCCTCACACAAATCAATTGAGATTCGTGTGGCGCATATGTATCTGATGCCTCCTTGTACCAATATCTATGTGTTAAAATAAAGAAATAATAAAATACATTAGCATTAAGCATTGAAGTTGGCACCGTAACCTTGAAATCTCTAAGACACTTTGGATTGGCTCGTCCATAAATTAGAGTCTCGTCTTTAAAGTTGTGAAGTGACACTGCTGAAAATCGATCACAATGACACAAACGTCTTCTTTTAAATACTAATCTTGTACTTTTTATTCTATTCACTTATTCTATCTTGTCAAATCACATTATCTACGCCAAATATCTCCTACTTCTACGGCTAACCACTACCTACCTACCTACCTACCTAACAATAATAATCTGGCATTTATCTTGATATAATGATTTATAGTATGATAAACTTGAACTTGATATACATATACACCAAATTCTATGTTCCTTTTTTTTAAAAAATAAACAACTGATTAATTCTTTATAAGCAAAGGTGGATTGTGGCTAGCAGTGGAATCCAGTTTGACGCGCGTTTCGTCCTATTTAGGACTGTTCAGCTGGATATACCTGCATCTCAGAGTTAATGTTCACTCCGGGACTCGAACCCAATACCGTCCGCTTCAAACGCCATCGCCTTATCCACTTAACTACTAAGTCCTGATAGCAATATCGAGGCGATACGCACAGTATGCACATATACCAATAAGAGACTGAACAATTTCAGTCCTAAACATCAATAGGAAGATTCAAATAAAAACAATATCAAGTGAATTAAACTTCACCCCATTGCACAAGCAAGTGGCTATCAGCACTCAGTAGCTAAGTGGATAACACGATGGCGTTTGAAGCGGACGGTACTGGGTTCGAGTCCCACAGTGAACATCAACTGTGAGATGCAGGTACATCCAGCTGACCAGTCCCAAATAGGACGAAACGCGCGTCAAACTGGATTCCACTGCTTGCCACTATCCATCTTTGCTTATAATGCTTGTAAATTAAGACAATATCGAGGCAATACGCACAGTATGCACATATACCAATAAGAGACTGTTTTATTTATTTATTTATTTTAACACATAAGTATAGGTACAGGGAGGCACCAAATACATATACGCCACACAAATGTCAATTGATTTGTGTGAGGGCTGTGATACTGCCCGGATGCTTAAACCGAAGCAGGTGGTTTTCTTAGGGGGCCACACCCCGAGCCTTCGACCTGAACGTCTGACCCACAAAGCAGTGGAGCATCGTAAGGAGATGCAGTCCCATGGTAGCCGGTGACCAACGATTGGTTCATACGCCATTTGTTCCTTCAGGATACTGGAGCCAGCCCATGTGCACCATTGATTTGGGATCCGATTAAATCGCCGGACATTCGCTTTTCATCCTCTCATTTTTGTTAACAACACCCCCGCCACGAGAAGTCAGTGAGTAGGACTTCCCTGGAAGAGGCTATATACGCATGGCCATGTGAGAGCATTTGGAGAGGGACAGCGGACTCTCCCCACTCTCGGCCGTACCAGGGCATTTGGGGGCAATAAGAGACTGAACAATTTCAGTCCTAAACATCAATAGGAAGATTTAAATAAAACAACAATATCAAGTGAATTGATTAATTCTTTCTTAATAAATAAAGTTATATTATCTTATTCTAATCATTTCCCCATTCAATTTTTATTATCCCCCCCTCTCTCACTCTCTCTCTCTCTTTTTCCCATTTATAGTTGATTTAATAATGGAAGTTGATAATGTATCTGGGATAACAATACATGAACCAACACAACATTATACAATAATATTTAATGCTTTAGTATTAATGACATTATTTAATGAATTTAATGCAAGAAAAATACATGGACAACGTAATGTATTTAGTGGTTTACATAGAAATCCATTATTTATTATCATTTGGTTTGTAACATTTTTATTACAAGCATTAATTATACAATTTGGTTCATATGCATTTAGTACAAAAGCATTAGAATTAGATCAATGGGCTTGGTGTTTATTTTTTGGTGTGGGTGAACTTGTCTGGGGTCAGGTATGTGTTTAGTTTAATCAATAATAATAATAATAATAATAATAATAATAATAATAATAATAATGATCTTTATTATTATTATGAATGGTGGTGGTGATGTAATTACTTTTTTTTTGTCAGTTCTATGTTACTTGTTGTCTGTCGAAAACCCCTTCATCAGTCAGTTAGTCAGTCAATAACAACGTAGAACTTTGTACATACGTAGGTACATACATCAGTTCAAGTTACCATACCACATTAGCACAGAGATACAATTGTCGATTCAAATCTAGTAGTGGTAGTGGTAGTAAAAGTATAAGCAGTAATCGGAAAGATTATGATTTGAAGATGTTATTCAAGAAGTATAATCCAGTGAAATAAATTTGGAAAGAGAAAAAATGAAAGGGATATGAAGAATTCAGAAGATCTGCGCCATTGTAAATGATTTTGAGCCATATCATTTAAAGTTTCTAATCATTGGTTGCTATTGTCTCGCGGATCCCAACCAGGTAGTCTACACCTACTAACATGGCTTAGTTCATGTTTATTCGGTAGTTAATACTAGCCACCATGAAGAAGTGATGAACTGATCCTGTATCCTGTGTGATATGAACTGGAATCAGTGTCACTCGGCTTGAGGTACTACCATTCAACTATTTGTGTCCCTCGACTGACTTGCTTCCTGACTAAAATAGTCACGTAATAGTGATCTGTGTCATGTTTATCTAGTCCTTAATGGTTAATCCAATATCCTATTGATCAAGTTCTTATTGGCAACGAGGTTGTGCTGTAAATTATATCATTATCAGCGTCAACTATAAGAACTAGAATAATAACACACATACAGACACAGAGGAAGAATCTTCGTCATTACTACAAAACTACACTCAACTGTAATATCTAATAGTTGGTGAAAATGAATTATTATGTGTACACAATCATCATCATGTTGTAATAGCAGCCTTACTATTACTTACTAACACAGTATTTTTATGCTTAAAGCTCTTCCTATATGTTGGAGAGACCCGGAAAATCCCTCGAAAAAAGCCCAATAAGGCCCTGAAAGCGCTGGAAAACATTTTATCCAATCAGCACTCAATAGAAGTTTCTCAGACACATTTAGAAAGTGAAGAGTTACGTGTCACATTTCTAATTGGATGCTTACCTATACTGTTACTATGTTTAGTAGTGCCCCAGAACTTTTCGACAACCTAATGCCATCTGAAATGCTATAAATACCCTAAGTTTTCTGTACATAAACGGAATCTTTAGAGTAAAGCGTTATTTTCATATTTCTCACCTTTTCTCTCGTGTTTAAGTTGTTGTGTAGATTTAACCTGGAGTTATTAGAATAGCTTAAGAGACCGATTCAAGCGTTCAGTCATTACGTTTATCAACCTACCAATTCCTAAAAACAAAAGGGGGTACATGTACTGTTGAATTTTTAAAACATTCACTCTTTTTCACTGAGAACATAGTGGCCAGAGCACTCAGCTTTAAACCACTGTAATATAGGTTCGAATCTTATCCTTACGTATTACAATCTTTTTTTTCCATCAAAACACTTAAATCGAAATTCATTATACAAACCTAAGAATATAGGACTTTGAATTTGTGGTTTGCATAACTTATTATAGATTAATAATGCATCATAGTAGTATCAGTCAAACTTTGCTTGACACTCATATTCATGTATCTATTCAGAATTTATTAAGATAGACAACTGCAACATATACAGAAAACTTACTTACTCCTGTTAATCCTAATGGAGCATAGGCCGCCGACCAGTATTCTCCAACCCACTCTCTGTCCTGGGCCTTCTTTTCTAGTTCCATCCATTTCTTGTTCATTTTTCTCATGTCTATCTCTATTTCCCGGCGTAATGTGTTCTTTGGTCTTCATTTTTTCCTTAGGTCTTGAGGATTCCATGTGAGGGCTTGTCTTGTGACGCAGTTCGGTGCTTTCCTCAATGTATGTCCTGTCCACTTCCAGCGCTTCTTCCTGATTTCTTCCTCCACTGGGATCTGATTTGTTCTCTCCCATAGTAGGTTGTTGCTAATAGTGTCCGGCCAACGGATCCGATATAGAAAACTACTATATCGAAATTGATTTGAATAGTTTCAATCTAAATTCAACATTAGAAATGCTTACATAAAATCAATTATTATCGATAGTGGGAACCCTAACGAAATCTAATAACTGTCTAGGAATCTCCATTTACATCTTGATGCACTTCAAGGCCATTTATTGTTTTGTTAAGGTATTGATAATAATAGTGCTGTAATGATAAGACCATGGTTTTATAATTGCTTTTGTTTTAGTTGATTGTTGCATTGACATCTATATAATTATATTTCCTATAACTACCCGAAATATTGAATAAATCAATTTTTCCGCCTTGTTTCTCCCTCTCTCTCTCTCTCTCTCTGTTATCTACCAATCACATACTATCATAGGTTGTCAATACAGTACCGAATGCAATTATACCAAAATGTAAATGTCGTAAACGTAAACGTCCCACAGTTGTTGGTGTTAATGAAAATGCAGCTGATGAATACATTAAGGATGCTATTGAAGTCGGTGAAGTTGATGAAGAAGAAGATGAAATCTCTCCATTATCATTAGGTGGTGCTAATATGGGAATTGGTGGACGTATTTTATGGATTCGTGGTGTAAATCGTATTCAAACACAGGTAAATTCATTTGAAAGGTGATAGTGTGTGTGTGTGTGTGTGTAGAGGAGGAATGCACAATTTTTCTATTTAGATCTCTATATTTGTCGTTATAGTTCTCAAAAAAGAATAACAATTTTTTCCCCTAAGAAAGTTTCTATATTCTTTTCGGTTAGAAACAATCCCACTTTGATCGAATTAATAACACTATTGACTATTAGGTCAAAATCTGAAGTTTCCCATCTTTTGTACTTTACATATTTTAGCTAAGAGCGACTGAATGATGTCACTGATTCCTTACTTCTAGAAAGATGTAATACAATATGTTAAGCGCACATATATTTACTTGATAACTAAATTATTACCATTATTATTGACTGTTATGTTTGATTTACGGATTATGTAATCGTAATAGTTAGTATATTCCAAATTGATAATGATTAATGAATGATAGAATTAACAACTAAGCCTTAATCTGGAACTACTTCTTATGAATTTATTAATTCAATAGACTTAAAGAAACCTACGTCCAATGCTTCCAGGTTTTCCATGGTGGTCTAGTTTCAATTGACTTATGATTTCAACTATTGAAATTATTACAATCTCTATAAAACCCCTTCTGATAATAATCATCTGCTTACTAGTGACTATCTTCAAGATATACTCCTAGAGTTCTAGTGAGAAGCTGTGACCAGTGAAGTTCAACTAGGTCTGTTGTGAGATATCAGCTCACTGAAGATAATGATGACGGTGGCGCAACTTCGTGAATTACATAGATTATTTATTATTATTAGCTTTATTCAATATCATAGATTTTTAGTACAATATAGAATTCTTAACCCAATGTATTTTAATAAGGTTCCGTTCCGTACTTCTTGATCGATCCTGACAATAACATATTGAATGATCGTCAGTTAGAAGTTAACAGTTCAGTCAATCGACATCAAAATAATGTATATTCTCTTTGATGTATATTACCGGCAACTACAATATCTCTGATTAGGCCTATTGTAACCTGTACAACGAAAGGTTGTACACTTTTTGGAAACGTACCTGAATAGGTTATGCGATGAGTAACCATAATGGTGTATTAAAACAAACAAATAAAATTAGATAACTTGTTGAAATATCTAGATGGCAGGAACAGGTAGTCCAGGTGTTTAAACAAATATGGTAGGTCTGGTAGGAGTAAAAAGCCTATCTACTAATATTTATTTATACTATATTCAGTTTTCTTTCAATTTATATGCAGCGGGTCATTCACTAGTGGTAGTAGTATTAGTAATCAAATACATAGATTAACGATCAGTATTGGAGTTGTGGAGATTATTAAGTTTTTGGTTGAGATCATGAACCGATAGATGTTAGACCACCTTTGGAAACCTGGGAGCACTGGACGACCGTTTCGTCTTATTGTAGGACTCCTCAGAAATACACATCCACAATCCCGCTCGCGGGATTCGAACCCAGGACCTATCACTCTCGCACACGAACGCTTAACCTCTAGACCACTGAGCCGGTATCTCTAACCTCAACCAATCCACGAAATCGCATGACCATCTTTCATTGTACTGAGTTAGATACCTGACTCCACTGTTCACAGCTTCTCACTAGAACTCCAAGAATTCCCTCACAAAGCTAGTCACTAATGAGCAGCACATGATAATTATCAGTATGAGGTTGTGGAAATTATTCAGTTTTTAATTGAGATCATGAATTGATTGATGTTAGACTACTATTGAAAACCTGGAAGCAGTGGACGGCTGTTTCGTTGTTTTTCCTCATTGAATTTAAAGTTAACTATGTAATATATTAAAATGAAAAACATGCCTTCTTAATGATACTATTTATTATGTAATAGTAGTCTATTATCATATAATAGGTTTTAACCAAATTTCTAATATCCGCGTATTTTCAGTTTATTCAAATGACTATATGATGTTTGGCGCTAATGATAACCTTTTAATCGTGGATGGAAATCAGAATCACAACTCGTAATAAATATAGACAGATTTATATGGTTAATAGAATGTACATATTTGTGTTTAGTAAAATGTTGATTATTATGCCTAACTCATACATACATTACATCGTAGAACTTTTACATGCAGTAACAATATACAATGGTAATATTAGTATTAAAATCAGAAGGGGGTTTTGTGGATATTATAGTAGTTTCAGTAGTTTAGATCATAAGTCGATCGAAGTTAGACCACCATGGATAATCTGGAAGCACTGAACAACTGTTTTGTCCTATTGTGGAACTCTTCAGCATTGCGCATCCAAGATCCCGCCTCGTGAGATTCAAACACAGAACTATTTAGTGCTTCCAGGTTTTTCATGGTGATCTAGCTTCAATCAACTCATGATCTCAACTATTGAAATTAATATTAATAGTTAATTATTCCATATACCCACAAACATTCATACAACTTAGCACATATATATTATGTTCCTAAGCATTGATTGCATTCATATTTACCATCATAGTTATATTATTGTCCAAATGATGATTTGTCAATTTATCTTTGGGTATAATTTTGCATCTAAGTAAATTTTTGGTTTCTATTTGTCTTGATATATTTCCCTTTATTATCGATAAGAAACCGTTTAGAATTAAATTGTAATCAACTGGTAACAGATTCGAATATCTCATCACTTTATCTACTTCAATTTGATCAACTAGTACTTATATTAGTAATTTTTATGGTTGAATTGTGGTTTAAAAATTAGTGTTTTGGTTGAATGGATCCTGTTGGATCGGTATATAATCCCCTGTATCCTCATAATCTACTATTGCATTGATTTTTCTTGGAGAAATAAATTTATTTATTTTATTTTAACACATAGATATTGATAGAAGGAGGCACCACATATATATATGTGCCACACAGATCTCATTTGATATGTGTGAGGGCTGTGATACTGCCCGGGTGCCCAAACTGAAGCAGGTGGTTTTCTTAGTGGGGGGGTCACACCCCAAGCATTTGACCTGAAGATCTGATCCACAAGGCAGTGGAGCATCGTAAGGAGATGCAATCCCATGGTAGCCGGTGACAAACGATTGGTTCATATGCTATTTGTTCCTTCAGGATACTTGAGCCAGCCCATGTGCACCATTGGTTTTGGACCCGGTTAAAGCGCCGGACATTCGCTTTTCATCCTTTCATTTTCGTAAACAACACCCATTGTGAGAGAATGCAGTGAGTAGGACTTCCCTGGTAGAGGCTATATACGCATGGCCATTTGAGAGCATTTGGAGAGGGAGAGCGGACTCTCCTCACTCTCGGCCGTACCAGGGCATCTTACATATTAACCTTATAAAGAAAGCAGACAAATAGGTATTCACGGTGAGATTATAATGTATGGCCGAACTAATTAAATCTAGGATAACGGGTCTTAGATTTTGGGGCGAAATTCATTTATCCATTTGACTAAATAGTATTTTGACATTATAGCTTATGTCAGTTCATGATGAAAAGCTTAACCATCAACTATAAATCATAATCCTTACACTTCACATAGGTTTATGTACCTCATTCAGCTCTAGTAAGTAGGTGAACATTTTCAAGGTTACTTTTGCGTTTTTCAAAGATCGTCCATAAATTATAGTCTCACCGTTTCCAAAGTGAACCTAAAACCATTGCCTTTTTCTTTTAAACATTTATACGTTATTCACTAATCTTTTGATTTTAAAACATCGATGAACTTAGTTAACAGTTATGAAATTACCAGTATAGGGTTGTGGAGATTGTTAAGTTTTTTTTATTGAAATTGAGACTGAGAGAATTCTTGGAGTTCTAGTGAAAAGCCATGATCAGTGAAGCTAATCCGTATCCGGTAGAAACATGTATCTACCTCAAGCAATAGAAAATGGTTGAAGTTAAACATTAACACTGTTGGATATCGAATCAGTGGTCCAGTAGATTAAACGTTCGTTCGAGAGATAGATTTCCTGGATCAGATCGTTAATGCACAGTGTTGAAGAGTCCCACAATAGAATGAAACAGCCATCAAATCTTTCCAGATGTTTCAATGGTGGTCTATCATCAACTGGTTCATGATCTCAGTAAAGAAATCACATTGTTATTGCTAGATGAACTCAGTTATTATTATTATTATTACTATTCGCATATTTACAGTTTCTTATATATTTATTTACATAGTTATATTTGTTCATCGTTCTATTTACATTCCATTATATGTTAATATGCTTCTTTATATTTTACTCTGTTTCCGTCAATCCACCTTCTATTACCTCACATACAACTAACTAACCAACAATTATCTAATCAACTCATAAATAAATAAATAAATCACCCGTCATATCTCTCCTCATTAACATTTTTTATTTATCATTTTTCTAGATGCAAGCTGTAAGTGGCCTTTCACGAAAGTAACTAACTATACTCTTTGTGAGGTTGTTTGTTTGTTTGTTTTATTCTTTTTATATACATAAACGATTTTCTTCGGTGTTATTCCTGTTGTTGTTGTTGTTGTTGTTGTTCTTGTTCTTGTTCTTGTCGTTGCTGTTGTTGTTGTTGTTGTTGTTGTTATATGTGATATTGTGTTTTTCAGCTTTTGTTTAGTTTTAATTTTATTATCGCTATGGTTGATATGTTTCATTTGTGCTGCATACACAATACCCTTATATCTATTGATTATCTTATATTAAACTATTTGTGCACATTTCTTTCTTTCAAATTTCTTTCCTTTATTTATTATATTATCAAATTATTAATCAACTTATTATATCTTCAATCAATTTAGTTGCCATGACTACAACTGATCATCTGAATAATTCTTTACTTCTATTTAAAGAGATCTCTTTGTTTCTCTTCTTTTGGTGTTGTTGTTGTTGTTGTTGTTTTCTTTACTTTCTTCTATCATTTAGTTATCGTTTTTTTTCTAAAAAAAAAATAAACAAAAAAAAGTGCAAAACAAACTGTTTTTTAAGCAACAAACAAACCATTTATATATATTTAGGGGAACAAGGTATGTAATTTGACTGAATTGTTTGTTTGTGTTTGGAATATCATTGAATTACATCATAGCTATATTATCTGTTCCATTGTATTTTTTTTTATAATTAGAATCATAAACATTAAAACTATTTGAGTGGGGTTGTTTGTTTTTTTTTTTCGTTTTTTTTTTAAATTTCTACGGAAGAAAATCTATAGGTTAGTTTTGTTGTTAAGAGACATTTCCATTGAAGGTTATGTTCATTATGACATAATAAAAAAAGAGGTATGAATAATACAAGAAGGGGGGGTTGTGGAGTTTTTAGTAGTTTTTAGTTGGAATCATGAGTCCATTAAATCTAGACCCACCATAGAAAACCTGGAAGCACTGTTTGTCGACCGTTTCGTCCTAGTATGAGACTCCTCAGTGGCAGTGCACATCCATGATCCCCCCCGCGAGATTTGTACCCAGAATGCTTAACCATTAAACCACTAAGCTGATCGGTATTCAACGGTGTTAATGTCTAACTTCAACTAATAAATGAAATTGGCTCATATATTTTGATTGATTATGTAATAAAATCGATTAGTTAGTTCATTTCTCTATTTATCAATTATATTGATTTTGATAAGATCAATTTTTGTTTCTAATTAAGCATAGGGATCATAGTATATTTATTCATTGATGGAACTTGTAACAGTTACTCTAAGCTGTATGATTTTATAGCTTAAAGGAGTTGTGAACGAGAATGTGCAAACACAATGAAGGATCTCCACAAAACATAAACTCTTTAATATTGAATTTGTATGTTTTGTTTAAATTCTAGTCAAATACAATATGATGAAACTACTTTTAATCTTGATAGGAGTTTTTCATTGAAGATGCAAGCAATTAAATTGTATGACACTGAATGATGAGTTTTAAAACTCACAGAGAGAGAATATCAACTACCTTGAAACTGTTGATACACTATATTACTGACAAATTCTCAAGTTTATCAAATCTTGATGATGTAATGATTCCTGTCAAGTATTCCTTAATTCATCAGACAGAAAAAAAAAACACGATCTATATATTCACGGAAACGGTATATCATCATCAACTAACTTATTCCACTGGTTATCTTAGAATGAAATTGATTGACTTAAGATGTGGTGGGAGGGGTATGTCATGTCTTATGTTGTAACTAACGTGACAGGTTTGTTTGTTTGTTTGTTTGTTTGTTTCATTCTACATCAGTATGGATCTATATAGATGGAACAGTTTTTTTTTCAACCTTATTTCAAATTCATAGAAGAATAATTTTGTTTTCTTTGAAATCTATCCAAATTTGATCCGTTTTGTATTTTACACTCATCACATATTGAGAAAGAGATTTTATTGAAGGAACCAAGAATAGAATTGAATATTAAAACAATTAATGTTATATGTTTGAGAATGTTTTCATGATAACTTGATCGATTGTTATACTTTTATAGTCATTATTCATATTATCAAGGGAGAAGTGATCTTAATGTTTAGTTTGGTTAGTACTCAATATGAGATGTTTCAAGTTATATACTTAGTGGTCTTGAGTACTGTTAAAGGTATGATGATGGTTATCACTTCCCAATTGCCCACACCGTGGAATAGTTCTTCTAGAGGTACCTGAAAAGGAAATTGGATAAGAGGTGTTCTTAGTGACCTCAGAGTGTGACCGCAATGCCTAAGGGACAACTGCTTAAAGTTGGTCATACATGAACGTTTTGTGAGTAATTTTCGTGTTAGCTCCGTACTTGTTGAGACCGTAACGCCGGAGATGGATATCCATGGGATAAGGCGGGATGTGAATTGTTAGAGTTGACCTTTTATAATTCCACTCTACCTTGTGAGAAGGCAGCATCGCTGTCATACTAATTGTCTGAAGGAAACATTTTACTGCTGTCACACTTCTGTACAGTCAGCAGTACGACTTCGCCTTCGGACCTTGGGTTTGTTGCTTTTAGTCTTACCGTTCTTCAATCGACCTATCTGGCATGATAGGACCTTTAGGAACGATTGTTCCAATCAGTATAGCTTGGTTGCTTTATTACGATAGACAAGCCCGACTACCACATCAAGGTAACAACAACAGTCAGTGTTATATACTACTTATTTCGGTATAAGTAGCTTACACCATAATCGAATTTAACTTGCATCCTCACTTTCTTTTCTTTAAGTCTACTCTTTTAAAATTATGTTATTCTGAATTATTAAACTGTTTATTCTTAATTATCATTGAACTAACTATAATAATGAATGGTAACTTTTTGGGATCCATTTATGGATCAATACTATGCGTGTATTTTTAGCATATAATTGTTAAATAACTAAACTATCTATATATTCATGTTCCTCTTATTATGAGCTTTATTTTGACCTATGAACTGTTATTGTACGATTTACCATTGTTGAATTATGCCCTGTCTATTAATTACAGTCTCCCTCATTCACAGCGATATTTAGTCAGATCTTGTACAAGTGTTGTTTCCTATTTTATTGGTACAATGTGGTCTGTCTGGTTGGTATATAAACCTAGTATGTTTGAAATAAAGGATTCATCTTGCAGAGGTAGAGATTGGTGTTCTGGAGTTAACTGGTTGGGCTAGGTAAGAAGCAGGACCGATAAGGTCTCTAGACTGCTCGTACGGGTTTTAGGCGTCATTGGTCCGATCGATAATCCACTGCTCTTTAATTGGCTGTATCGTTACGTTATTACATTAACAGGGCACACAGACCACAAGTTATAACAGTCGGTGTATATGACCCATCAGGGATCATAATATATATTGAACTGTACTATTTAAGTTTAGATGGTGTGTGGTCCTCCTGAATACCAATATAACTTCACCCTCTTCCAGAGTATATTTATAATTGTGATTTGTATATGAGTGTAGTATGACAACTCGAACTAATATACGTACATATGAAGTTTTACGTAGCTATTGACTGACTGATGAGTATGTGAGCTCGCATTTCCAACAGACATTTGTTCACTATCTAAAACAATACCATCTATCATGTACTCCTATTTTTTAAAGCTGCATATATTTGAAATCTTCAATCAGTGTATGATATATTATATAAAGTTAGAAATTGAGATGATGGAGAAGATTTGTAGCTCAGGTGGATGATTTTGATAGAGTTTTGTTCTGTGAACTGGATGATTTGGTCATGGAGCTTTCATCGTTCTTCTGAACGACATCATCACCACAAACTTCAGACAGAAGTCTTTCTGAACTTTTTGCTGATGATGCCGTTCAGAAGAACGATAAAAGCTCCACGACCAAACCATCCACCTTAGAGAACAAAACTCCATCAAAACAAAAAGTTAGAAATTATTTCATTGTTATACATTCATAATCAATCGAATGTTACAATCAATTCTCAACAGCAACAACAACATTATCGTTAGAATGTTTTTTTTATTGTATCATTTTGATATTGTGACATTCAGAGATGACGTCCTTTTTTTCTTAAAGGAAATAGAGACTATCAACTAAGAAATATGACACTATTGAAGTGGTTGTCATTTGACTTATCAGATTGTTATACATTGATCATCTTGTCCTCTTTTTTTTGTTTTTGTTTTTGCATATATATTTTCAATGAAATTCAAGATTTTCTTCCTTTCAAACATCACTATTGTTTTTGTCGTATGTTACACACACACACACACAGAGAGAAAGGGGGGGTAGGGAGAGATGTGTATCTGCCTACGTAAAACTATCTATTCAACTGTATGTATACATATTCAGTTAAATATATCTCAGTTGTATGGGTAAACTATTACTAAAGTGTTGAAGAAACTTTTGTATTGACTACCTAGATACATTAAGATTACCATTTATAGGCAACCATTATTATTATTATTATTATTATTATTATTATTATTATTATGGCCTAGTAACTAATACTTATTATCATGTCTCTTATCAGTAGTATATGTATACATAGATCTATATATTGAATATCTAGTATATTGTAAGTATTTCTAAGGTGAAAATTACTATGGTAGATGAAGATATTTCTATTTTTTCAGCTATCTAAATAATTATGATTATTCATCATGTTACTCTATTGCCTTATGGATCTTTAAATCTTTAAATCAAATACTCAACATTTGATCTATCCATTTCGATTTGATCACTCAGACAGTAATAATAATAATAATAATAATAATTGTTATGATTTGATGTCCGGCTTACGATCACGTGACTTATACACCAATCAGAATACGGCTTATACCAATATTCGCACTATGACAAGACCAATGACGTTCAACCGGTCTGAGCAGTCTAGCGTCCTATTGGGTCCTACGTCCTTCTAACCCGTCCTCTTGAGTCCAGAACACAAAAGCAGCTTCCGAATCAACCAAAATCATTTATTTCAGACA